CTTCCTAGTCTCTTCAACATGTGTAACAATACTAGAATTTTCACTGAAAATCGGGACCAGGAAGGCTTATTTGCATGTACACAAAAGGATGGTAATAATGCCTGCCATTTATGAAAGAGGTGACTATGAAATAATTCTAGAAAGTAACTTTCTTCAGACCCTGAAACAGTTTGCAGTAGTTGTTGCCCAAAATAGTATCAAACTCATGGTTTCTGTTTTGTGGCCCAAAGAAAATCACTTAACCCTGTCCTGTACCATCTGGTTAAAAAGTCTGTGATTTAAAAATAACCTTAATAGACAGGTTTGTGGTATCTTTTTAAAATACTCTAGCATAACTACATCAAATCAAACAAAAGCTTCACCACCACTTCCATGGTATCAGGGATGCTCACAAGTTCCCCATTATCAAATACACGTAAAACTGACTGAATGTTTTGCAACTGCTCTGCTATTTCAGCCAAACTAGCAGATTGTTAGCGATTTTGCTCTAAGTTTGTGCAAAGTGGATACTACATGCATGAATAGGGGAAGTGTTCCCTTACACTTATCATGGGTTATTTATGGTTTACGAAACTTTCCCTGTTTGCTTCTCGAGCCATAATTTCTCACAGAGTGTATCTCTGATTCTGGCTGCCTCCCGAGAAGTATCCCCTATGCTTAGACAGTCTCCCATCTGCAGCAACTTTCTCAATTCTCTTATACCTTTGAGCTCAAGGATAGAAAATGTTGAACATTCTAAAAATAAAATTTTATTGTTTTCTATGAATACACTGTACATGTTGTTAGAATGAAGTTGTTAAACCAGCGAAACAAAATTTAACTTTTAAGTGTGATAGTTAAATAGACACAAGAAAACAATGGAATTAGAGCGTATTAAGGTGTACTGGTGTAACACATTTCATGGGATTTTACCTCTCCCTCTTTTTTTCTACTCACTTTCTGCAATGATTGGTGGCAAAAAATTACATAAGTATGCACAAATTACCCATGTTTTGTTTTGGTCAGCAGCCATTGATGATGGGAATTTAATTGTTCAAAATTTGAAAGCATTTGATTCTGTGAATGGCCCGCTCTACATGTATGCATAGTGCTGCAATCTGTCTTGTCTCTGTTTCCTCCTCCAGGGACAAATGGTCATTCTCCCTAAGAAATGGTGGGATATTAAGAGAAACTTTCTTTGGTAGCACATCCTCAATGTCAAATCCCTTATCCACCATAATGCTGCCACCCTCTTCAAGTAAAGAGAGTATTCCACAATCTCTAGTAGCCTCCTTATCACTTGTTCTTCCTGAATATAGATCAGAAACAAATGTAATCATTCCAGATGGTTCAATGCCTACTAATCCCTTGGCAGTGTTATGGTGTTGGTAATAGGAGTATGTCTTGCTCTGTGATCTTAGAGAGCTTGACATTTCTGTAAACAGCTCATTGCAATCTATTATAACTCTTGTTTGAGGGTAGGAATCCTTAAAGTTCTGAGGCATTGTCTCACTCACAACTGTCCTTGTTGGCCATATTTGATGACCAAAGAACTGCTGCTTTAAACCAGTAGCTTCCTTACAGCATCTGTCAATCCATCTAAACATTGATTGTCCAGGCATAGAATACTCATCAATCATGATATAGTCTACATTCAATACTTTTTCTTGTAACTGGACAAGGCATTTACCAGACAAATCTTTGTGTGAATTTGTAACAGGGAATTTTAAAAAGGAATGGATTGTTTTACCATTGATGTTATAAGATGCTTTTGCAGTAACAACACATTTTTTCTGAAGGAGTTGCATTTATCAGACAACTCTTTCCAGTTCTGGCTACTCCATTTATGATAAAGAAAAGAGGTTCTTTTGGACTGTTTGCATTGGAATGATTTCGTACTTTGTCCTATGCAAGGTTCTGTTTTTTCTGTTATTTGTCTACATGTTCTAGTTCAAAGCAATTTTTATTTGATCCAATTTGGCATTTCCCCTATCTCCTGATCTGTCTAGTTAGCGAGGCTCGAATGTCAGTCAACTGAGTCATGTTGAGGAATATCAGAACTGAAATTGATATTGGAATTATGGAAATCAGAAAGTATCATCCACTCTTCTCTATCTCCAGTCGAAAGATCATATAAATCATTGTCTAGTTCAAAATGATTCCTGACTTGTAGTTTCATCTCCCAATTTGGAACATGATTTTGAGCACAAGGGGTTTTTTAAAAAAATCATGCTATGCAATATTAAAAGTGTCAGTGTTTGGTCCCACATTTTCATGACCCTCTGGAGAGGGCCTAAATGTGCTAGTAAGTCAATTTTTAAGGACTCACAGAGAAAGGCAGCTAAGTCTTGTTTGTTCTTTGGTTTTGAGATGGATTTTGACCATTGCCACTGTATTGGCATGGATCCACTGTCGATGTTGATTTCAAATGAGCTTGATTCTCCTCTCTTGCTGCATTCCCTTGCCTTGATGGAGACATGTCTATACTGGTCGAAAGTCAGGTCCACTCTGCATTTCTGCAATAACTAGTCAAATGTTGCAGACCTTGCGGATCTAACCATCTGAATGAGAGCCATCGCATCAATTAGACGTACTGTAGGATGTTGTGATGAAAGCAGGCTTCATCTACATGTGACATTGTTTTCAAGGACATGTATTTGGGTACTTTTTGTCGTCTTCCTGAGGCTGCCATGAGGATGTACAAGTGGGACTGGTACATTTCAAAGCTCATAAGAAAGAACTTCTTTGAGATCAATATCCCTATTCTTTGCAGCGACCAGAAGGCGACCAAAATGCTCACAATCAGCATTAACAGTTACAGTCTCGTCTTTCTGTTTGCTCACTGCAACTTTCTTAACCACAGAACTGAATGCTTTAATCTTCAGTCACTGGGTTAGATCCCAGAAACTGGTTTCACTTTTCTGGATTTGCTATTAAAGTATGGTTTTTGTGCTTTTTTTGCCTAACTCTCCTGTGCTGAGAAGAATGCTTGCATCTGTGCCTAGAAGAACAACACCAGTGGCAAATTTTCTAAAGGTTAAGAGTACTTCCTAATAATAATAATAATAATAATAATAATGTTATTTATCCAGGGAGCTCACATCACCAAGGTGTTATATTAGTGAGGGCCTGCCAAAAAAAAGAAAAATGTTAAATTTGAAAGGTTAAAAATAGTTAAAAATACAATATTAAAATGTTCAATAAAATTACATTATAAAATGAGCTAAAAAATTGCGGTCTTCAAGGCTTGCTTAAAAATTAAGTGACCTCATATCATGTATTGACTTGTCAAGACTGTTCCATTCTCCCAGTCCTTGATATAAAAGGCGCTGTTTTCCATAATTGCGCCTAACTCGCGGTTAGTAAAAATTGGATTTGCCACGAGTATTATAAGAATGGATGTCACTGATTAGCTTTGTATCAAACTTAAAATCTACAATGCCATTTACATATTTATAAATGAAGACACAGTGGTGAAATAACCTAAGTTTAAAAAGGGGTTGGCCAACAAAGTTCTTTTAATGCCTCCGTAGAAGAGTAAGAACACTAAATCATTGACCCTCTTGAAATCAG